CTTTAATATAAGTTTAACATGACAGCAAATGTACAACGTTTCGACAAGGTTTTGTCATCATCAGGTACTTACATGTATATCATCAACCAACTCACATGGGATTTGGTACTAAGATACCTCCATGCTGGCCCCAAATAGTGATATAGACAGTTTTTGGTTTTTCTGGTGTCAAAATTGGCCATGTTGAGATTGTGTGGTGGAGCCATGTTGCAATTGCCAGCAAATATTGGCACCTTTATTTGTATTTTTTTGCTATTTACACACGTGTTACAGGTCAAGATCCTCCTTCTTTTTTAAATCTTCTCATACATTTTTATTGCTCCTTACAGCATTAGTTTGTTCTTCTATGCATTTTACTCATGTTTTATCAGATCTATACCTAATCTTGCAAGTTATCTATTCCTGTAGTCTGCTCAGATTAATAAGGTGTTGACTGATCGAAATATTGTGTATCGAGCTTCCCGTTTCTGTAATCTGCTCAGAATAGTGAGCTATTGACTGATCTATATCATGCCTCACCAGTAACTAAAAAACTGATTTCACTGTGATAAGAATTTGAGAAAAAAAGTGATAATTTTTAAATGGGGAAATTTCATTTTAAAGCTATCAGATGACTTGAAAAACCATGTGATTGAAGCACCTTTTTGGAATTAATGCTCTGTTTTTTAGACATTTATGTTCTATACCAGTGATGATTTTGTGTTCTAGTGTATTTTACTTTTTAAGTGTACGTGTTTGGAACTAAAATAATTAACTTTTTATCATAAATAACATATACATATATATATACATATACGAAAATATTGTATGAATCACTGCTTAAAAAAACTAAAACTTTTGGCCAACTGACTCAGTCACCAAGGCACAAAATGCTGGTTGGTCGTTCTCGTGACTGTGTCACCAAATGCTGATTGGTTGATTCACCCTGTAACCAGGGCACCGTAAGTGAGTATTGTTTAGTTAGTTATACTGGTTTCCAGTTGACTTTTAGTTTTGTTCTGATCAAAAAATTAATATTTATGATCACCAGAAACGTTATTTTTCTGCCATATTTCTGTTTCATATTTTGAAAAAACTTTCCTGTTGAATTCCAGCTTTTAGCCATATATGATTTCTTAAAAGACAGGCTTGATTTTCCTTTCTCTAATGCGTAACATGAAAGTATTTTACATGTTACACTCTTTTTCCTTGAAAAGTGGAGGGAATGGAAGTAAGCAAGTGAATGCAACACGGGTGATTGCCCACGGTCATGTGGAGAGTGAAGGCGTGACAAACATTTCCATGGCTTCAAGTTATTACTGGACAGCAGTAAGAATAATTATCAAATTTCATTTTTACTCGGATAATTTCACGTATATAGATGTGTTTTGATGTAAAGTAATTTACCAATCTCATTTCCTTCTTGTATTTCTGGTCCTCTACTGGTTCAGTGGTAACTCTGAAGACTCGTAATGCTAAAACCAAGCTCTGATACCCGTGTTAGGCATAGCACAGATATTTCACCATGTAGCTTTGAGTTTAATAACAAACAAACAACAAAATCTTGTAGTGGGATCTTCAGAGAGTTTTGGTTTTAACATTTAGGTCTGTACGGTGAGTCAAAATGTTTAAAAAAAAAACTTGGTAGACTTTCATGACCTATCTAACAGACTGAGGTATGGATACGACATTATAAAGCATTAATTAAAACAATATTTTTAACAAGGCATACCTGATGCATTTTGGCATTCACTAGTTGGCTTTTTCAAGTATTATACATAGATTTTTGTATTAAAATTCATATTTAAATTCATCCGTTACAACATTATTTTCATGTCTTCCTTTGACAATGTTATTTCCATGCCTTTCTTTGATATTTTGAGCTTAAAAGAGCCTATGTATTTACATGCTCGGTAATTTGTCTGTTTATGTACATGTGTGTAGCAAATGTAGAATCTAAAGTAAACGCTAATAAGAAAGATATAAAAAGGTCTAAGAAATCTGCAAAAATTATAAAAAATTTAATTAAAAAAATCTAATTTGGATGTTATACCACTTTGAAATTAATCTGTGTTTTTAAATATAGCAGGATTAATAATTATAAATGTTGGAGGTATCCCACACTTTACAAAATTTAAAATTCAGAAACAGCTAAAACGGGATATTATCATTTTAGCTGTTTTTGAATTTTAAAGGATTATTAATTATTGTGATGCTAAACTACAGTAAGAGTTTTTAAAAAGGAATATCTGTGTTCTTTCTTTTTCAGGTGGAAGGCAGTCAATATTCAGTATGTATTGTTTCTACTGAAAGAGATACTAAACTAAGATTAGAGGACAATATAAGTTTAGATTCCTTCTTGTATCATCGAATTGACAAGTACATCCCCGATAATATGCAAATCTGTCAGCATTTTGGAATAAGAGCCGTAAAAAGTGAGTCCTTTGTGATTGACCAAGTCTTTCTCTATCATAGTAATGTATGTTTAATTAAACCTTGGTATTTCAAACGTCTTTCTTTTGTAAAATTGTTTTTTCCTAGAGTTAATGTTGTATGTTCAATCACGAAGAAACGAGTAATGTCTTTGTGACATGATACTGGACTGATTTCTAGCGCCATTAATATAATTCTGTTCTAAATCTAAAAAAATATAAGATGACAAAACACTTGCCTGAAAACTTGTGCCTATTGAGTGAATTTTGTGGTCATATAATATTAAATTAATTCCTCTGTTTGAGGTTCAAACATTTTGTTACACTTCATCAGAATTTTCATACAAGTATTTTTCAATCAGAATACTATTTGTGGTGTGTGGGTTGTCTCATGATAAATCTAGTACATTCTATTGAGGTCTTCACACACAAAAAAAAAAAATCCAGAAAATTTGATAAATAACGGCATACATTATGTTTGCTGTATATTCCACTTTTAGTCATTATAACCATGACAGTATTTGGTTAAGACTAGCTGTGTAGGTGGTAGGTGTTGCCCACTGGTTGTTCTTCTTCTTGCTAGAGGACTGGGCATGGCCTAATGGTTATTGTGTCAGGCTGTGTGCCGAAGGTTTGAAATGTGATGCTGCTGAACACATTCCACTGTTTCATCTGTGGGTGCATTATAAAAGTAGCAGTCAACCTTTTATTCTGTTCAAAGTCTTGTTAGCAATTTAAATTACCTTGATTGTGTCTGAAGAACTGGTTATTTTAACAATTAGGCCATGTGGTGAAGAAGGTGCTGTTTAGCTGGTAATTGTTTTTACAGTAAATCCCCAATTTAGAAGGTTCTCTTCATAGGAGTTTTCTTGGACTTATAAAACTTGCTGTTTGCAATGATGTAAATGGTTTCTAATAAATAAATGATTTTTGGGACCTTCCCCACACCACTTGCTTGGTTAAGGGGTACTGGAGTCCTAAATCTGTCGGCTCCATCTTTTTGAGATAAGTAATTTAGTTTTTAAACTCGACTCGGGAACAATTCGTACAAGCTACGGTTCAAATCCTGAAATCTGGTGAAGCGTTAGACACATACAGGCCTAAAAGGTGTGATTAAAAAATCATGTTAACTCAATTTTTTCCCTTGCATTTCTCTTAATTTGTTCAAAATGTGTGAAAAAAAATATCTGTAGTTAATGAGGTTTGTGTCAAAACTGTATGTTTATTAATTTATTACTTTGCCAGTTTTTGGTGTTTTTTACTGTAGCTTTTAAAGTGTTATACTGCATATACATTACTAAAGTGTCCGAGAATCTTTTTGTCTCTCATCTTTCTGCCAAACCGACAATTTTTGGCATTGATTGAAAAACCTAGTGAGCAGTGACCTGTGAAAGACAGAAAATAGATCTCAAATGCCATTTCTATACATGTCTGAATTTGAACCCACAACAGACAAATTAAAGGGGAACATGGAAGAAAAGAAACATTTATAGAGTTGATATTATTTTTATCTAATACACCCCCCTTTTCATGTATATTTGTTACTTTTTTGTGATCAGGTAATTCTGCTGTCCAGTTTTCTTCGACATCGTGGGAAGATCCATTGGATCACAAGAAGCAAGTGGAAACTAAGAAAAGTATTGAAGATCTCACAAAATACATGTTAACAGGAGACAATAAACCACTGAATAATGGATTTATTTTAAAGGTAGGGATAAAAAAAGTTGTCGTTTTTTTTTTAAATAGACATTTATTTTCCACATTCTACTTTATTCGCAGCTTGAAATCAGAGGTGTGAGAGAAAAAGTTTTTAGATCTCTATTGCCCCCAGTGGTAAAACAGTACGTCTGTGGACTTACCAGGCTAGAAACCAGGTTTTGATACCCGTGGTGGGCAGAGCACAGATAGCCCTTTTTATCTCCCACAAGTCACTGCCCATAAGGTTTTTCTTTCAATAGCAGAAGCTGTTGGACTGAATGATGAGAGTCAAAAGTTTTATCAAATGCTACTATAGAAATATATGTAGTATAAGGCTCTAAAAGTTATGGCTTAAACTCCAAAAGTCAACAATACATTGAAAAGTCACTAGGTCTCTCACAAGCTGCTGACCAATAAGCAGTGAACATGTTTTTATAATAATTCTTAAGCCTAATGGTATTCCAATATTTTGCCAGCTTTTGGCATTTAACCTGTAACTTTTAGGTTGCACATATAAATGTCTCTTAAAATTTTTTTGTCTCTCGTCATCCAGCCCTGCTGATGAGTCATGAGTGAAGTGATTTGTAGGAGACAAAAAATATATCTGAATTGCTGTTTATTACATATATCTGATTTTGATCCATGCTTAAGAGGAACGTGGGAAAAAATAAACACAACCATGGATATCCGCAGAGGGGGGAGGCACTTGCTCCCCTGGAAAAATGAGAAACATAATGCTTTCTTTATTCATTCAGTATATGTATTTGAATTTTTTTATTCAATTCACAATTTCGTTTTTATAATTTATAATTTAAACCATGATGGATAATTAGTTTGGCTAATTCTTTACGTGAGTACCATACATTGTTGTTTTAGCATTAAATGTTTTTAATATATATAAACATTTGCTCTATTTTTCACAGGAAAACGGAACAAATACGGTTTCATTCTCTAACATTTCCCATTTTTATCATTTAATATTTAAAATTTAATTAAATATTTAACATTTAAAAACCTAATAGAAAAAGAAATATCGAGACCAAAAAGTTACGTATGGTCGTTAAAGTTATACGAGTAAAATTTTTAAAGGATATTTTTTGTTAAAATGTTGTTTTAATAAGAAAACTAACACGTATATTTTTTTTTCTCTACTTTTGTTAAATAGGATGATGTGCGAGATGAAGTAATTATTACTGCTATGGTGGAGAAATTTTGGACTAACCACTCCTCCTACAGTGATATACTCGTATGGCGATCAGTAGCAACAAGAAACCTCATTCGTTTTTATCCGGCAGGTAGTATTACTGGCGATTTTGATTCCACCAAGAGACCTTGGTAAGCACACTATCTTTTCATTGTATTTACACGAAATATCAGTATGATAATTATGCTTAGCCCTCTGCTGGAGTTTGTTAGCATCCTCATTATTATTATTTTTTATGGCCTAAATACCAACAAAAATCCCTGATATAACAGAAATCGAACAAAGTAGTAAATATAGTTTTACTTTTCTTTATTACATTTAGACAGCTATGATTTGTGATTTATTTTAACAGAACAAATACAGTTTTACTCTTCTTTATTACATTTAGACAGCTATGATTTGTGATTTATTTTAACAGAACAAATACAGTTTTACTCGTCTTTATTACATTTAGACAGCTATGATTTGTGATTTATTTTAACAGAACAAATACAGTTTTACTCGTCTTTATTACATTTAGACAGCTATGATTTGGGATTTATTTTAACTGAACAAATACAGTTTTACTTGTCTTATTGGCAGGTTCCAAAGAGCTCTCACAGCAAGAGATAAGCTAGTTCTTTCTCCTCCTTATCTTGATTCTTGGGCATCAAATCAAGTTATTTTGACACTTAGCAAGGCTATTTTCAAAGGCAGGAAAGAAAAGTAAGAGATATACGTATATCAAACAAAAAATAACTATTTGCAGGCATTTGGTGAATTGTCTGTTTTTTGGGAGTAATTTTATTTTCATCTTCAAATTGTATTGAAAAAAAAAAAAGGTGTTATGTATGCAGCTTTGGACATGATCTTTTCGGGTGTATTTTGAATGTTTTTAGCATTTTATAAAAGTTTTTGTAGAATTCTTGTTAAGAACCTGAATGAAGAGTGTAATATCACATCAAGTCCAAACAAAATATTGAGAAACGGATTAGAAAACCAAACTACGTGTTGAATACGTTTCCTAAATCCACATTCAAAGTAGAATAAAGATTAGAAACGATATGTAAAGTAAGATTAGAAAGGTGGGAAAATAAGTAAAGACATAAAAACTTTGTTCAACGTGTTGTTTTTTTTAGGTATACCTTTAATAAAACAAACCACTTTTTTTTCTCTTTACTTATTGTTATATTCTCTTGACTAAATTCTTCTTGTTCACCAGAAGTCATTCCCCAAGTGGTCCTGTGGCAGCCGTTATGGAATGTGATTTTAGGATTCAGTATTTTGGAGAAAAGCTTAAAACCTTTTTCCCTGAATGCTCTGATGGAGAGTAAGTTTGTGACAGTTATATAAAGATGAGGTTAAACATTTTACATAAATATATAAGAAATGAAAGATTAGACATTTTTACGTACGTATACATACCCATAAGCTAAGGTCGAACACAACATTTGTACTAAGAACTGTTCTTGTATTGCTAGCCCTGATGAAGCTGTAAGGACAAAATATAAAGTTTTTTTATCATTAACTAGAGAGTAAAAGGTTGTTTAGATTTTTGGTGCTAAGATCTGATCCATGTTTTATCTGGTTTTTAAAGCAACTATAGTATTAAATAATCTATCCAAAAGTTTGCATTTTAATACAAATGTGCTAGAAAATAACATTGTTACAGACTCTGTAGAAATAGTTGTGGTTTGACTGGCTCAGCTTTGGAAAAATTTATAGTTTTTTTTACGACTTTTTTTTTTTAGAATAAGCATCGACTATTTTATGATGTTTAACAAAGTAATTGGATTGTTTGTGTTGAGGAATAATGTAGCCCCCTGGTGGGACAGTGGTAAGTTTATATATACTTTAAACGCTAATATCTGAAATTCGATTCCCGACAGTGAACACAATAGATAACACAACATGACTTTGTTTTAAAACAAACAAACAAGGAGCAAGAACATCACCGAGAGAAAAAGTTAATTCTCGCTTTAATTACATTTTAGACTGCCATAAGTTATACGATAATTTGTTATTGTCTCAAGTTGATTGAGTTTTACTCTCTTTACTGAAAATGAAGTTAAATGTACAATAAATATGTTTTTTGTTGTCCTAGTGGTACCGTTGATCCCCATTAATTTAAGATATCCACCTTCGTGGATGAGTTGGAAGAATGTTGGTGTTTTTGTCATGTGATTATTGTATTGATATTTCATTTTGAAATTATTTTCAGCTGTTTTATTATGCAGACAAGTGGGTTCCTGGTTTGGCACCCAGCATTTGAAAAAAAGATTCATAGTTTTAACCACTCGGGTATCCCCAGTAATCACGTGATTGTTGTGGTGAGTAGTAACTCATTAAACTTATTTATTAAATCGATCATTAAAGAAAACAAATGTGCACAGGGTCGGTCCAATTGGAACAATCCCATATCAGAGATGAAACATTGGCTATAATTTTGAATTTACTAGTTTATCTTCATATATTGTGGCAAGCTTTTAGTGAGATATACAAGTCAGAGGTTTGCAAAAAAATCAGATGTATTACAAAAGTATTTGTACTCAAGATCGATCTGTGAATTTGCAAAAAGAATAAAAATGCTTTTGTACATAGTATAGTTTGCATCTTGTAGTGCGTAATCTTTAGAACCTCCAAAATGCATATACATAGACTTTTCTATATCCCTATATATATTGTATCTCAAGTACCATGAACTGTTGCTAAATCATGTAGGGTAAAATTAATAGCTGATAACTCTGACATCAAATACATAATATCATGTTGAATGGTGCTTTGCAAAAGATGCCGTGTGAACTTTGACCCCTACCTGTGCACATAGGGTTATTAGAGGAAGCTTATTACTATATCAAAATAATATTGTATAAAATTTATGACAAAACCTGTAAGATTTTTGCTGTAACTGTTAACGAGTGTTTGTTGTTAAGAGTCTTATCAGACTTTAGTAACACTTTCAAAGATAAATTTGTAGTAACTCGCTAACATGTTCTTAATTCAAACTTTCAAAGATAGATTTGTAGTAACTTGCTCACACTGATGTTCTTAATCCAAACTTTCAAAGGTAGATTTGTAGTAACTCGCTCACACTGATGTTCTTAATCCAAACTTTCAAAGATAAATTTGTAGTAACTCGCTAACATGTTCTTAGTCCAAGCTTTCAAAGATAAATTTGTAGTAACTCGCTAACATGTTCTTAATCCAAACTTTAAAAGATAGATTTGTAGTAACTCGCTAACATGTTCTCAATCCAAACTTTAAAAGATAGATTTGTAGTAACTCGCTAACATGTTCTTAATCCAAACTTTAAAAGATAGATTTGTAGTAACTCGCTCACACTGATGTTCTTAATCCAAACTTTCATGTAAAGCCTAAAGTTGAATTTCTATATTCAGTTAGTGGATCTTGTGATGACAATGTTATTGTGTTTATCTGTTATTTATTCTAAAACATAAAAAGTATATGTAATGGATACAGAACAGAATGATCTTAGTGTTACTCTGTTACAATTACCATAGAAACTGAAATAAAGACTGCATAAAATTATGATATGGCCAATGGCCAAACTAAGTTTGGAGCCATAAAAAAAAACACAAGACAGATGTCACTTGTAATCTGATTATTTATGTACATTTATTCTCCTGAAAAAGGGAGTACTCACTTTTGGAAAACATAACACCTTATCCCCCTTTTACGGGTAAATAACTTAACACCTATTTTTGAGGGGTAATGACTTAAGAAATTAAGGCGTACTTACCCTCAAGTGGAAACGAATCAGTAATTTTTCCACATCCATGCATTTTGTTGAATTGATAATTTTATCCTTCATCATACTGAGTGCCACACATGGCTCCTAAAATACATAAAAAAAAAATACCTTTTTAGCGCTGCGCTTCAATTTTCATTTAATAACCAGAAGGTCTTTGTTTGTTTGTTGTTAAGCTCAATGCAACACCCTGGTTTATCTGTGCTCTTCCCAACTGAAGTATTAAATCATAATTTTCTGTGGTGTGAGACCTCGAACTTATCGACTGAGCCTCTGGGGGGTATTTAGAAGAAAAACAACAAAGTGATAGAAAGAATTTTCATGAGAAAAAAAATGCACTGAAGATAAAAAAAATGCCAAAAGAAGCTGGTCATCAAAAGATATAACTACATGTAATGTAAGAAATAACAAAATTGTTAAGATGAAAAAAATACAAAAATTGTCTTTTATAGGAGTAAAACATTATATTAACCCTTTTGGTGTGTAATTACATTTCGGGCTAATTCCTGAAAAGTGTCAATTATCCATCAAAAAAATGAAATTATGAATTTGATCTTTTTTTTTACTTTCTCAATATCGAAAGGAGATGATATATTTTCTATATCTGTTATAACAATTCCATAATGTACACATGAACGGAAAAATCCAGTGACAAATGATGAATGCTGACTTATATATTCATTTGCCACCTCTGGTTTATATTAGTTTATCAGATGATAGATACTAGACTACTGAATATATATGCAAGGCATAACATATATAAACTTTTAAATATCAATAAAATTAACTTCAAATTATGAAGCTACTTACCGTGTGTGCTAACAGCTGAGTATATGTAAAAACATCAACTACTTGCAGTGTTCTCACAGAAGGCAGCGCCACAGAGATGTGTCATGGCTTTCAAGGAGGTG